TGATAATTTCATATTAAAACATTTTAATTAATAAAGTTTAATTATTGAAATTTAGTACCGTGAGTATTAACGCTCACAAAGATAGTAAATAATCATTTAGTCTATTATACGCTGGAAAAGCGCTCCTCAAATTTTTCATACATAAAAGTTTGTGACACAGGTAATGAAACAAGTAATAAATTATATTTCTTATAATATTTACTCACGTTATCCTTATAAATACCATATTTTAGGTTAAAAAAATAAAATTTATTTTACTCACTTAGTGACTCCTTAGGAACTTCCGGGTTAATTCTTAAATTACACTGAATGTCACAAGCAAAAGTTAAACTAATTGTACGCCAACTTAGATGATTAGAGAGGTACATTTGGTAATGAAGCATTAGAACAATGTATTATGAATGAGATACTACTTTATTAATTTATTTTTTCGATTTTAGTTATAGTCGAATGTAGTCAGTCAGTGTGGATAAATGGTTAACAACGGAATTGAGTCATCAAATTGTAATAATCATTCATTTTCTTGCATTAAAATCCTACTTACAAGTCATATTACAGTTTTATGATCCCATTAACGACTTATTGGTAACAATAGTTCCCTTGAAAGTCAGTTATCAATTTTATCTGGAAGAAATTATTAACAAAAATGAATAGGATAGTATGTTTAATAATATAAATATTTATGTTTTTGAAATTAAAATCATAAGATTTTCTAATACGTATCTAATAATTAGTAATAATATCAAAACATATCCATTAATTTTTTATTTACCTTATAGATTATTTCCAAGCATTAATATAAATCATTACAATTATTAATAAAGGTATGTCTATGAAATTGTGACGTACATTATACTTTGAAGTTTTTCAATTTTAATAAAAATACAGTGTTAACTTAGTAAACATAATACTTTAGTATTGTTTTTTTATGTTTTCAGGTGATGTGGTATTTTTCAAACGTTATGAAAAAAATTGAAATACACGCTTGCTTAATTTCATCTTTCTTACATTCATTTTCCAGTATACGTAAAATGTTTACATACTGAAGAGCCTAACTAACATGTTTGTAATTAAATCTAGTGATGGTTTACTTCTAAAAATGTTCTTATACATTTTTAAATCTTTTGGACTCTTAACTTTTTCTATAAGAATAGAAGAAAAAACTACTCATCATAAGAAAGAAATATTTTTTGTAAGATCGCGTTTAGCGTTACTATATAATTCATTATTAATTGCAATAATTTTTTTCGGAAACTGTTACGTTGCTGATAAATTATACATTGCAAGGTACAAAAAAGTTGCTAACTTACTACACATTGTGGACATTGTCGAAAATATTTGTGGCACTGTTGTTGTCATAGTGATTTTAATATTTTACTCTGTGCAACAAAACACAGAGATTGCATTGTTTGAAAAAATATTCGAATTGAAGTTTCTTACAGATCATTTTGACATTTCAAGTGAAAAAAAGTCAACCCGCTTATACATGTTTCTGACCGTTGCGCTGTACACATTGACTGTTTTTTTTATACTACTAAGCGCTGCTGTTTATCAGCAAACTTTTATGTATTCGTTTAGCAGCATGTCCAGAAACTTGATAGTCATACTACTTCTTTTACAATATGCTTCGGTAGTCATAGTGATTTCACAAATGCTTGAAAGTATCAACAAAGTGCTTGACGATCTGACAGGTGTAGCTTTTACGGATAACTTTATTCAGAAAAATGTGAGCAACGGAGTGCTATTGAATATAAAAAAACTTCAGCTAATTTCAACGATACGAGATTTGCACAGCTCAGTTTTGAAACTTTGTCAAAGAGTGAACGCCTTCTATGGGTTACCAGTTTTATTGTGTGTCAGTTATTTGTTTATATGTACTGTCATTTACTCGTACTTTTTGGTACATTTGGTAATTGAGAAAAAATTTTACTTTTCAACCGTAGAGTATACCCACGTATTTGTATACGTGACGAGTTTTATGGGTTCTTTTACACTTCTTTCTAAATTTGTGAACAAGACTTTAGAAGAAGTAAGTTTTTAATGGATAATTTATTCATTCCATTTATGTCTTTATGTATTTTAGGTTGATCAAACTGGACTCATTGTTCATCAATTGATTAGAAATGCACTAAATGGAGCACTTTTAAAAGAGGTATAGCAAAAATAATAAATTGAAAAGATGTGGTTTTTTTTTAAATATTGGAGTAGCTAATTAAATTTTAACTCAAGCTGAATGAATTTTCAACGTATCTCCTTCACGTAAAAATAAAATTTTCCGCATGGGGTTTTTTTGATTTGGATGGTTCTTTGGTACAATCCGTAAGTAAAAAGACATGTTTCTTCAAATTAAAATTACATTTCATGGACCTACATATATGTTTCGATGTAAAATATGAAAATTCTTTACAGATTATTAGTTCAGTTACAACATACTTAGTCATATTAATTCAATTTCAAATGAGTTCACCTAACGATCATGGAAAGCAATAATATAATCGTACAATATTCTAATAGATAACTTGCATTAATTTTCTTGGATTATTTTAAACCATTCAGAATTAGAACGCAATAATAAATTGTGCATATTCAATCATTTAACTTAAAAATAATGAAGTAGGATTTTATCGTGTCTAATAAAAGAAAGTGCACTATTACAGTTTCATAAAGTTGTTGCAAATAAAAACGTCAAGTCAAATTACACCCTTACCAGAATGACGTATTCCATTAAAGTAGTAAATTGATTATCTGCAATAAATTTTTAGTTTTTTTGAATTTCGTTAATGCAGTACCTTTGAGTATTATGTTTCTTATAAGATTTATTCATTTCCATGAAAATAAANGGCTGTTGTCAACAATACGGGACTTGCATGCTTCTGTTTTGGAAGTTTGCCAAGAAGTAAATGGATTCTTTGAATTTTCGGTTTTGTTCTGCATAGGCACCTTGTTTATTTCTGCAGTTATATACTCATACTTTTTGGTTCATCTCTTGATAGGAAGAAGAACTATTTTTACAGTCGCAGAGTATGTCCATAACTTCTTTTATCTTACAAGTTTCATTTACTCTTCTACATTTCTTTCGAGATACGTGACGAAAATCATACGAGAGGTAAATTCTTATTCCATTGAATCAGTTGGCTGTAATTTTTTTTTATCGATTTCTAATTTGGTATTATGTACGTCTTGCATTAATTCTGCTGTAGATAGATAGAACTGGAAGCATTGTACACCGTTTAATTAGGAATACCTTGAATAATGTTATTTTAAAAGAGGTAAGGAAGTGAATAAGTACGTATTTTGGTAGGTACAGATTCTGAACGAGTTAAAATAATTTTCTAATCTTTTCTTCAAAGCTCAAGGAATTTTCTGTACATCTGCTTCATGCAAAAGTAACTTTTTCTGCGTGGGGTTTTTTCAACTTGGATGGTTCTATGATGCAGTCAGTAAGTTAGTACCTCATTCGACCGTAATATATTATGATTAGTGACAATGGTTTAATCCAATATTAAAATAGGTTTTCAGTTCTATAACAACTTACCTGGTGATACTAGTACAGTTTCAGTTGAGCTTTAAAGATAAAATAAATTACAATTACACGAGAGAACATTGAACACGACATGCGTTGAATTACTCGGTATATGACGTATACTATATTACTCATTAGTATATTGATTTACAAAAAAAGTCTGTATGATTTTCAAAAAAATAGATGTATTGTGTATATATACTGAATTCATACATTCTGAAAAAGAGATATATTTTATAAATAATGTGCAAGAAAGTTTGGATGGTAGGTGTGTGCCAGATTTTTATTAATTAAATTTCTCGTTGTCACCATAAATTTAAATCTATAAAATAATAATTATAGTTTTTAACATTAGGTATATTTTAATTATGAGTATATTAAAGTATTGAAGCCTAAAATAAATTTTTATATCGTTTAAAAAAATAGCTATATTTTACTAATAACGACCAATCGCTAATCTTT